ATTGATATGGTGTTTTAAATAGTGATATATCAGCATATGAAGATATTTTGATAATTTAATGTATCAATATTTTTTCCCTCGCCTTTAGAAGTTTTTAAGTCTGTAAAAAACAAGTTTTTGAGGAAGAAGAAGAAGTACTTTTTGTTTTTGTTTTTATAGACTTTAGAAACTCAGAAGCTGATCAAATATCGGGTTAAATATCGGTGGGGTGGCCGATGTCCGATATTCAGTTTTAAGGCCGATACAGGCCGATACCGATAGGGGTCCCAATATCGTGCATCCCTAATTTTTTCTCCCCAGGCTGGAAATACATCACCAATCCGACGACTAACAAAACAGCCATTAAAGATTTAATTTTGATCTTGCACATCTAAAAAATATATTCATACATTTTGAAATATTTAAATTTTACAATTACATTTTTGTTTTTGTATGTCTTAATCAAGATCATTGGTCATTGAGTGGGGCGGGGCCCTGGTGCCCTCTGTGGGCCAGCCGATTGCCTCCTAATAGTATTTTACACCCAAAAATATCCTGATTCTGATACATTATTACCCCCCTCACCACTGATCTGATATTCAGATTTTCTGAGAACTATATTTGTGAGTTTTCATTAGCTATTTAACCACCGTTTTTGGTGTACACTGTGTGTAAATCAGTATAGTTTTTGAGTTTTGCTTATATTTTCTAACTACACTTCACTGGTTCAATTTAAGAAATAGAACTTTAAATCAGTTCTATTTTTCCTGAATGCAGGTTAAAGGTCCGCAGAGACGAAAGTGGGACAGCAGCAAGAACTTGAAGCCTGTGGACATTTTTATGGACCCCCAGGCCTCCGGGGGCTACGATGCTGAAGCTGGGACCACAAGTGTACACTCAGAGCAAGCATTTCAGCGTTCACCCAATCGCAGCGTTCACCCGCACGAACGTCTACCAAGTGGCCTTTTGAAGGACTTCATAGTTGGCGGAGAGGATGCTGCCAGTAAGCGAGCACATTTATCAGATGACATTTCAAGCTCAAACGATTCCCCTGACGAATGTAATTTGAGTGACAAACATGAAAGAGCGTCAGGGCTGCCTCCATCTGCTCGTGCCTTAACAGCCGCAGCTGCCTGTGTAGCTTCTGCAAGTGATGATGAACGAAAAGCTTCACCTCCAGTGACCTTGACAGGGTCTGAGAAGAATCCATCTCCCAGCAACAGTAACCCTGCGATGGCTAAGAATCCCCCTGCAGAACCCACTGACTCCCAAGTGGTGGCTCACAAGCCTCTCATAATGCGAGATGAAGAGAGAGGTCTTGGCCATTTGAAGCCTGAAACCACTTTTAGAAAAGAAGCTCAAGAGATATCAGGTTTGTAGTGATATTTCTTCCTTTTATGTGCCTCCACAGAAACAGGCAGTTTTTAACACGAAAGTTTGCCCTTTGAATCCTTTTTTTTCCTTCTTTTAAACAAGCAATGCTGTTTGGTTTGTTTACATTTAGGAAAATGTGAGAGTGCTGGTGAACCAAGCTCAGATGTGCAGTCGTCAGAGAGCAGTTCCAGTAACCTGACAATTTCTTTGACACAATCGGAGCTTGAGGAGGATTTACCAGAGGAGGCTGCATCAGAAAGAAATACCTCTCGCAGAGGAAGTGAAGATCACAAACAGCATCGTCCTGATTCATCCCTCCATTCTGATGGGTCTAAGAATGCAGAACTTTTAACCAGTAAAGCCTCAACTCCAGGAGTGATTTTGAAAAGGTAAAGTATGTCTGAGATGCTATTGTTTGTGAAAATTTAAAGAGACTACCCAGTGCTGTGCTTTTCTTTTCAGCAGAAACTGTACGCAAATATGTTGTTTCATATATACTTTATTCCATCACACAAAGCATATACATTATTCTAGTAATTATGAACACTAGGGCAAAAACTTTTTGGGAACTTGGAATAGACTGCTACATAGATGCTGAAGCATTTGAGTTGCACGGAAGTTAAAAAGGGTTAATTATGTTTTTGGGCCAAAGTTCAAATCTAATGTTATCCAAGTCATGATGGATGGTGAACTGTGTTGAACAATGACAAGATCTTCTTCTGGACTTTAAGTGATATAAATCTGTTCTGTTTTTAGCACTTTTTCCATCTGACATGTGTCTGTTCATCACTTATGAAACTAAATGACATATAATGCTTGTCCTAACTTTAAGGTATAGTTGAGATTTTTCTTTTTCTCTGTGGATCATCAAAATAAGTGGTCCTCCTAATTGTCAGTCATTCTGGTGATATGTTTGCGTAAGGCTGTCCTATCTGCTCGTCCCCATTGTCACTTACTGGTGGTTTGTCTGACATAGTGGAAAAATTTGCAAATCTTCTAATGGAAAGTGAGCGTTTATGAGCAATGCAAACAGCAACTTTTTAACAGAGCGTGCACGAGGGGAAATGGGCTCATACACGCTCTGGCACGTGTTTAATAGGCGTTACCTCTTTAGAGCAGGTACAGGGTTGTGCATGTGCATTTCTTTTTAAAAGTGGAGAGGGCGGTCTTTTCAAAAATTTGCAATAATCCTCCACTATACCTTTAATTGGTTATGGACTTTGGCTTTCTGGAACCACTTATCTCCATGCAACTGTTTTTTTTTTTGTTTTTTTTTACTCCTTCAATATGCCCTACTTGGCTTTTGAAAAATGTTTTCATGGGTGCTAAGATTTATTTTTTGTGTATTTATTTTTATTTTTTTTTTAAGAAAACTTGGTTATTTGGCTTTAATAATACATATGGAACAGTAGAAGGTAACTTTGGGTTAATATTATTCCATCAAAGAGGAGGCTGTGTTGCCATAGATAAGTATGCATTAGCAATTGATAGACGTGATCTATTGTGCTCAATCCACATTCTCTCTTTTATGCTTCCAACTTTCTCTGTGGCCTTCAGCACCTTGGGTATTGTAGTCTGTGTTAAGTGTTGGCGTTCTTTTCCGATGCCAAGCGGCTGAATTTTTCTATTTATATGTAAAAGTTGATTCTTTTTTTTTTTTATATATATAGTGGATTTTGTTACCTAGCAATTCATTCCAAAGACTTCTCTGCTATTTTAATAGAGATATTATATCCATAAGAAATTGTAATTTTTTTTTATAAAAGTCAACAACCCTAAATAGGTAATATAAGGCATTTAACATGCCAGTTTGCCCCCGTATTTCATGGAGATAGGTAACAAAATGAAAGCAGGTTTAAGACTTAGCAGAAGGGCAAAATGATCAGGTGCCAACTCAATGTTTTTGTTGTTTCTGTTTAAAAAAAAAAAGTCAGGTAATTGATTAGAAGCATAAAAAATAAGTAAAAATACAAATAGAGGTGCTAAAGAACTGATCAGTTGTGTAATTCCTTATATGATTTTATCAGAGGCATTTATGCACAGATGCTTGCTAGCTTAGCTATGGGAGGGTAGATTTGCTTTCTTAGTTAAATAAATGGCTTACATCAAAGTACCAAAACATTTAGACCATCACATGTTAACTTATAATTGCCAATCAATATGCAAAGTGAGTTTGATTGATTTAATTAAAATCAGTTTTGCTGGCTTCAAGTATTTTCTTCTGTGTTAGCATATAGTCCTTTTAAAATTGATACAATGTGGTTAGCCTTTTTTAAAGTTCACTTAGTTGTATTTTGTGATGTTCTTTACTAGCATCAAATCATAGGTTTACAAAGAAGAGCAGTGGGAGTCACAGTCCAGGCAGCATTGTTTTCTACAGCCTTGCATTTGCAGCGACTGTTGTGGCAGTGATGCATCTTATAGAGAGAAGAGCTTAGGACCTGTCCACAACAATATTGCCATAATCCAAGATAATGCTCTAACAGAGCAATTTTCTGCTTGAGAGACCTCAGGAAGTCCCCACTGGAGGAGGAAATTGTGGCACCATAGAGTGTTCTGGAGGGTGGGCATGTGGACAGCACTTACAGCCACAAATCCTTAGCGTGATGATGGCTTCTGAGTTGAAGGATCACTTTGGATGGAGTCAGAGTCACAGAAATCCCCATGCGAATGTTTTTGCACACCGCTTCAGCTTTTTCCCTCTTCATATAAACATTTTTGTAAGCAGGCCCATGTGAGCATTTTACAGTCCACTTTCTTTCTGTGCATATAATAACACATTTGTTTATGTGTTTTCTCTTTTTCTGTGTTACACTAGAGATTGCGCCATGCTTACTGTATGTATTGTAATTGCAAATAAAGAGAATGTTTTTGAGCATTTGCTCATTAAATCCTCTTTATTTAAAAGTTAGTACAGCCTTTGTTTATTTCTTAAGCAGTTTGAGGGATTATATTTTCTCTCTAAGAGTGCACCAGCCACATTTATGTGTGGTCTGTCATACTTTTTATGGCGTGACCCGAAGAGGAGCTGCGGTTAGCCTGCAATGGAGAGACGTCGGTGGGGGCTGCAGCCCTCTTTGCTAACAAAGAGAGCTTCTGTGTCTGAGGAGAGAACCAGAGGCTTTGATGTAAAGCTCAGAGAGCATCCAGTCTCTATACTCTCGCTCTCTTTTCCTCTCCCTTAAGGTTAGAGTTTATATCGCTCCTTCCATTCAAACCCCAGTCCCGGGCAATTCATTAGATTATCCCATTATATTATTTTTTTCCTCCAGCACAGACAAACTGAGGGAGACTGAAATATTGTTTCTTCTCAGAGTAGATTCATAATGGCCCCAGTGTGTCGGCTTCACCAATATAGTCTCACCTAACTGCACAATAGCTCAGGTTTTTTTTTAAACTTTCAGACATACTTCTTTCAGTCACAATAAAAGACCAGCAGGAGAATGTTAACAGTATAGAATTAATTGGAATTTAATTGCAATGTCATTATTGCATATATAAAGAGAAAACGGGGGTGCAAGATTTGTTTTAGGGCTAAAACAATTAATCATGATACATCAATTTTTTAAATAATCGTCAACTAATTTAGTAATTGATTAATCCTTAACTGAAGTATAGAGACT